CCCTTTTGGACTTAAAGTCCTAGAAAAGAAAAGACCATTTTCTTAGAGAAGTAATTTTGGCAAAAGCCAACTGCTAGATATTTCAGGATGGTGTATGTGCCACTAAAGCCAAGCAAAAAGAGGAAAGCATTCAGGAAAGCAGGGTGCTCCTGGGGAGGATAAAAAAAAGAAAAAAAACTACAACAGTTTTGCCTCTAAAGTCTTAGAGAAAATAAAAATAGACATCGTGCTAACAATTATGGGAGGGAATTTTAGTGATTCCAACAGAGAAACACGTTCTCTGTATTTATAGAGAAATACCATTCAAATAGAGAAATACACGAAAAACTCCTAAGTGAAATAGTCTTCCTGACTCTTCCTTTTAGGAGGAAGGCCGTTTCTGTGCCTGCACATTCTGTTTTATTTATTTTGGGGTCACACCTGATCACTCCTGGTGGTGCTTGGGGCACTATTTGTAGTGGTGGGGGTCAAAACAGGATCAGGAATGTGCAAGGCAAGGACCTTATTCCCTGTACTATCTCTCAGGATCCTGCATGTTCTTTAAGGCCAAGTTCTGGGTCTTTCTCAGGCTAGCCCACTGCTAGGTTCTAGAATTCCTAGGTTCTATTTTTTGGGACTTCAGTGGGCCCCAGTAGACAAACAACTCTTCAGCATCAGAGAAGTATTTTTCTAGAAGAGAAACAGACTGTGAAATTTTGGGGTAGAAATATCTTCCTTGACTTGCTTAGTTCCAAAGGGCTAGTGAATAATGCTACACTGACCAGCCCTGGTGGTGAAGTCAGGAGTGCAAGTTTCCATCACTGTTGCCTAAGGAACTCAACTTCTCGGAACTGCCCACTTAGTATAGGCTCATGCCCAAGAGACAACTCGGCAACGGCAGCTGTGGCTTCACGCATATTTCCTGATTTCTGACTTTTCTACTCACCAAAACATTCTCATCAGAGACAGGAAATTCAGTAAAGCTGTGGTTAACTCGCATTGAAAGAAGAAGAGCAATTTCTTCTATTCTTTTATCCTGATCCTCAAATTTCTCAGTTTCCATTTAACACACGGAAGAGAGATTGTCAGTTCCTCATAGGGCAGACTTTCGACAAGTGTGATGCAAAGAATATTAAGCTTATCTATACTTCTCAGGGCAGAGCAGACATTTCTTGGAAGGTGTTTGTATTTTGTTTTTCAGTAAATGCAAAGTTTATAAGCCTGATTGACCCATAGATTCCAGAGGATAGATCATTAATGTCAACAATATTTCCCTTTTTATAAAGATCATCATAGTGTAGATGTTTGATTTGTAATTAAGAAATAGAATTGGATATTGAACATAAGCTAGTTTTATCATTACTTTTCCTATGTCAAAGTGGTCTTTGCTCTCAAGTCAAGTAAAATCTTGAATTGAAATTTTTCTATTTAGATTAGATATAAAAAGTTGTTATATTTGGTTATTTAAGCTTATTGTTGAAAGCATTATAGTGTCTACAAATAATTTTAGATTGTATCTTGACACATTAAATATACTTCTCCTAGGTTAGTGATGGAATCAAATGTAAGATTCAGAGGAGGAATCATATATTGCATAAAGTCCAAATATTTCATTTTTAATCTGATAAATTAATTTGGAACATGTATGTGATTTTTTACCTTCTTCCACAGACAAATGGAGCCATCCGCCGTCCCACCTTCTTCAGTTCCAGCCTTCCATGGTTCTTACCTTTATCAGTTCCCTGGTGCCTCCTCATTCATGGGGAGCAAGCCAGCTTAGTTTTACATTCAAGTGTTTTTGTGTGTGTGTGTGTGTGTGTGTGTGTGTGTGTGTGTGTGAGAGAGAGAGAGAGAGAGAGAGAGAGAGAAAGAGAGTGAGAGTCCCCTAACCTATTTTCTCAACATTGTTTGTTACAGTTTCACATATAGAACATGTGCAGATGACAAACTCCAGTCAAACTAGCTTCCTGCTTTTCCTTGAAAGTACACTGCAAATGATTACTCAGAGCAGTTCTTAGCCATAGTCTACACCTTACTCATGTTGACTTTCACTTTGCCTTTCTTCAATTTCTACACGACAAAATTCTACTCTTTTTGCTAGTCTTAACACAAGGGCTGTAATCTATTTTTATGTCATTCCAGTGGAAACAGACCTTTTTCACATCGAATTCCCATAATGCACTATCACTATCTTATCATGTCACTTTCACTATTGTTATTCGCATATTCTATTTCTTTCTTATGCTATAGCATATAAGAGACATTTCCACAAAAATTGTTAAATGACTGATATTTCATTTACTATCATCCATCCATCCATCCATCCATCCATCCATCTGTTAGATATTTATTGAACATACACAATATTCCAGGCAAATATAGTAGCTTGTCAAATCTACACTTGAAGTCTGTCTGTACAATCATTTCTGTTATTGAAATCCTTGCCCTCATGTGTAAACATTTTTTTCTTAGCATGAAGGAGTACATCTTTCTGTCATTATTACCAATTCTATTATTTTTAAAGTTGCTCCTATGCTAGCAAAGTTAGCAATGCAAAAGATTTGCAATGTAAACATACTTTCAACGTTGTCTTGTCCTTCCTATTTACATTTCCTTCAAGATTCTCATTCTCATTTTCATTTTGGTATCTTAATGGCCACTTGGAACCCATCTGATATTAAAAAGTCGAGTACAGTCTTAGAATTGAGGCAACAGACTCTAAATCATTAATCCACAAAATGGAAACTTGCAGGAAGAGCTCTTACTGTAGAGAAGTCAATGAAAGGTAAGTCTTTTGGACTCCATATACTAAATTTCACCTTCTTTATGAGGTGCTCTTACTTTCATTGTGACTTCACAAATGTGTTCTTAAGAAAACAATTAGAAAACACAAATGCAGTCATTCCAGTGATTGTATTATGTAGTACTATGAAATATCAGATTATTTTATAGAGATTGGGGTACTAGTCACATGTCAATTTGCCTGTAGAAACTTTCCCCACCTATTGATTGTTTTAAAAATGAAAATTGCTAGGTAGATGTCTTACCAACTTTGTAAAAATAAGGACGCATACACACGACTGTTTGGGAAAAATGACTCCTAAAAACTGGTTCACAGAACCTTTTTGAAACCAGATTCTTGAAATCAGCAAAGTACTTACTGAAGAACTCTACAGAAACTTCATATATCTGACCTACTACAGTTACTTTAATACCTAAACCTCTCTGGTGTAAGGAATTTCTTTCATCCATGTGAGGATTTTATTATTTGCACTCATAGTTATCTTTTAATTTCTTCTGTGAATACATTCTCACTCCATCTATCATAAATTTAAGATTGTCTATAAGTTGGGCAGATTTGCTCAGTTGTAAATCTAGTTCAAAACTTCATTTTAGTAAACATTTCTGATAATTACTTAACATGAATCCTCAAGGGTGCATTTCACAGACCATGCACTCTATGGTTAAGTTTAGAAAAGAGAATGCATGGTTTTGTTACATTAAATGACAATGTGATCCTAGAAAATCATAGTTCTATATAAATAAAAACCACTTTATTACATGAAATGACAAAGTAATCCTCGAAAAATCGTAGTTCAAATAAATACACAAGAGGAATGAAAAGAAGTTCTAGAAAACCGTAGATGTTTGAATTTAATGGCATATGTTGGCTATGAATGTGATATGCAATTTATTTGAAAGCAGATTAAAATATTAGAATAAGTTAATTTTAAATTATTTAATTACTAGGCTAAAGCCCAGAAAAATCAGTTACAAGGACTTACCAGGTTTTGTGGCTTTATCTACATGTATCAGATTGTAAGTCCTGATCATTCTGTGGGCTGTGAACTCCCTAGTCAGATGTTACACTTCTTTGCATTCCTAAAACTGAACACTTGTTACATTTCTAACCAGTATACACTGTGTGAAATAAATACAATTTTGCCTCTTTCCCATAATCCTAAAACATGTCAAGATGGTGCAAAATTTAATCATCAAGAAAGAGTAGATCTAAGCATGGGCCAATATAATCTGGAAAACTTTTGGCATGATGCTAAATCCAGGAGAAAAAGAAAGAACCAGGGATTTGTCATTTTGCTTCCATTTCACGACATGCTCACAAGGATTTTAGTTTGATCCAAATTTCACCTTCACAATATGTATGTCCATCTTAATGCCATCGTTGGAATCCCTGGCACCCAAGAGTAGAATTTATAGACCAGTTTTGTTTTTGCATTTTGCCTGTTGCAAGTGTTCTCATTTACTTTTTTTTTTTCTGATGTTCCTTTAGGGATTGATGCTAGTTCTGAGACAAATTTAGACCTCACTAGGTAGACAATACTCTGGGATTTGGTGAAGCTGCTCTGGAAAATAATTAACAGAAAAAAAAGCGACATGTCTAAAAGTGAGCCACTCCACAGGAGAAAGGTTCAGCAATGAAACGTGAGCTCATGGAATTCAATGACCTAAGTAGCTGTACCTCAGCACTTTTGTTTCTAAGTAGTGTCCATCAACCAAGTGATTGTACACCACAAAAGATGACAGAATTTATCTAGAAATCTGAAGTAGAATTTGCAATGTGACCTCAGTGGCTGGATCTCTTCTTGTAAAGATTTTTTCATCTTACCGTGAAACAAATGGCCTACTTCTTTGAGACATACTAATACCATGAGCTCATGCTTCAACCTTGTCCCTTATCAACCTATCAGCAGGAGCGTTCAATCTGGTAGAAGAGAAGGCATGACAGAGAGTTATTTTCTGCTTGTATCCTTTTGGCCTTCTTTGCAAGAGATGGGTATTCCTTTTTGCCACCTGGGCATTTAAGTGAGCATTGGTGGTGTTTCTTACCACATTATTAGGTCAGCATGCCTCCTTTCTGATGAATCTAAAAAACTCAAGGAACTGATCTCAGAATCCCTGACCTTTGCTGTATCCTGAAGTTAGGGTTTAGAGAGAGACTTGCTGAATAAAAACAACACCACCACCAACAAAAAACCCATGTGTATTCTTGTTTTTTTTTTTTCCCTGTGAGAAAAAAAATTGATTTCTGTGAGATTTTTGGGACACAGCGCTGCTTTCTGAGGAATTTCCAATTCCCACCTGTCCATCCTGACCGTGGGAGCCCAGCCTGCTGAGATCAGAGCTTAACCCCTGTGGTCTCTGGGATGGATCTCTGCTGCCTTGCCCACAACCACCTGCTTTGGCACATCTCCAGGAGGAACTGTAATTTTAATGTGGTCCAGCAAGTTTGCCCCTTGTCTCTTGGGGATCTCAAAAAGAAGCAAAAAGATTTAACCAGCACAGAAAAAGGCTACCAGACAGTTGTTGCTCTCATCTTTGGTGGTTGTACCCAAGATAGAATGTTTTGTACCCTCTGCTTAATTCTTTTTAGAAGGGGGCCAGGTAGAGGACCCAGATGAAACCCTTCCACACACTACCCTGAAGAACAAAAGGAGCAAGTGGCAGGTTAGATCTGGAAATTGACTTTGGGAAAGGCAGAATTTTTGAAAGGAAAGCCAAAACATGTTTTCACCTCCTAGCCCACAGGTTAAATTACTGAAAAGAAATCACCATTTCTACATACTTCTTTTGTGGGTGCTCTTACTCCGGAGAGTAATCTAACTCATCGTTTGCAATCAGGGCCTCCGAGTTCTGTTTGTGTTTGCTTTTGCTCTTTGCTTTGCTACTTGTCCGGGTGTTTGCCTTTGCATCTGACATCTGTTGGTAATAGAAGCCTTTGTCCTCGGAAGGCCCGCCCCAGTTCTCCTGGCTCTCATGCTCAGTGGCGTAGGAGAAACCCTCTTCCACCGAGAAAGGGTCATCCACATCGTAGCGTTGGTACATGCTTTGGTGTAGGGCCTCTTCCCGGGCGCTGATTTCTAGGGTGCTGTTCCAGATGCCATAGCCAAAATAGATGAGCATACCTGTGGGCGGGGGAGGAGGAGGACAGAACAGGTAAATAAGCAAATGCTTTGGGTCTCAGGAGGCTAGTGGAGAGAACGTTCTCAATAGTGAAAGCTGAGTTGCTTGGGGATGTGTTTTCTTTGGTCTGTACAGTGTTGTGAAAAGACTTGAATTAGATGCCATTGACAAATTGAGAGATCTTGTGCTGAGCAAGATCTTGTGCTTTCCAACAGAAGAGAGAAGGTTTGAGGACAATGCATCTGCTATCCTACCTGGCAACTTTTGGCCGGAGGTAGAATTAGCTGCTTCATAAAACAGAATAGGGTGAGCTCTCGAGGTTAACTCAGCCCCTACCTTCCCCATAACATCTAGTTCATTACACTCAAGTTAGGATTTACATTTTCTACCCTGGGTTAAGCATATATGAATCAGCAACATTGCATTCCCTGATCTTTTCTTTTTCTTTTTTTCCTGATCTTTTCATAACATCTTATTCTCTAAAGTTTCCACTGGGGAAATCATCTTTCATTCTACCCTTAGCAATCTACATTTATTACTCTATAAATTGCTTGTCATTTTTCATTTTCCCAAAGAATAATATATGATTATTACCCAGATCTGTCCACTCACCCCTATGGTTCTCAGAGTATCTGGTGCATACCACCAATATCATCTTTAGAATATTTGTTGTGTCATTATCTATACAAGGTGCTTCTCTTTTACATACTCTGCGGAAAGCTGACTGTTGAATGAACGGATGGAAATTCAGAGAGAGAGAGAGAGAGAGAGAGAGAGAGAGAGAGAGAAGGAGAGAAGTGACTGGTGCCTGTCAGAGGCAGGTGGGGGGAGGGGAGGGGAACTGGGGACATTGGTGGTGGGAAATGTGCATGGGTGAAGGGATGGGTGTCGGAACATTATAAAACTGAAACCTAATCATGAACAGCCTTGTAACTGTGTATCTCACTGTGATCTAACAACAAAATGAAATAAACCTATTTATATGGGTAAATGTTTTGGTTTTGCCATAATTTTAAAAAAGAATATAAAGAAATAATTTGAGAACCCCATTTTTGACCTCAAAAAGCTCAAAAGGGTTCTCAGCCTGGGAAACTGAGAATCAGGGCTTTGGGAGAACAAAAGGCATGCTAGTTAAGACTACGAGTTCTGAGATCAAATCCAACTTCCCTCACGCTCAGCTGTGGAATCTCTGGGCCTGTTATCTACCTTCTCTGTGGCTCAGTTTTATTTTTCTTGAAAACCATGTGAGCTAGCATACCTATGGTGTGGCTACTGTGAAGGTGCCATCAGGTAAGGGGTGGATCTCAGTCCTGGTCGCTTCTGATATTACTTGGGACAGCAGAAAGAGGATTTAAACCATCCTGACACTGGAGTTCCTGCCTGGAAATTCTGATAAAATTGGCCTGTGATATGCCCTTGGTGTTGGATGTCGAAGTTCTGCAGGTGGTCTAATAGTCAGGCAAGGGTGGAGAAAGTTCCCAGTGAACATATTCTCTCCCAACTCCAGCTAGATTATGGCCGAGCCCTTGGAGGCACTCAGTGATGCAACCTCCCTTCAGGTCCTGACTGACTCTTCCGTGTAGCACTAGTACTTTTGATTTTGCTAACACTGTCAAGCATTTGCTTAGAATAACAGTCTTCAATATTTTCACACCTTCAGACTGGCGCTGGTCTGAACCCTGGTCCATGGACTAGCAGTTATAACTATTGTAGTAGACCAGTGGTTTACAGCCTTTCTAGACCCATGGACCACGACTGGTCCATTGACCAGCAGCTGAAGACCACTGTCTAGAGCAGTGAGGTCCAAGATTGTTTTCTGTGCCGGTGTTTGAGAAATCCTGCTGTCTTTTGAGTATGAAGTGATCTTTCAAAGCCTAGAGCTCTCCCTTATTGTCTCAGATGGCATCTCTGTCTTCTCCTGCTTTCCCCCAGTGAAATCAATTTTCCAGGAGCCAACGTCAGCAGAGGTTTATCATCTTAATTAATAAAAAAATCCTGGAATTAATCACTTGCAAATGTAACTATTGCATCTCAAACAGTGACTTTAGTTTTCTGGTGTGTCTCTTTTTTGTCTGGACTGGGGGTGGCAAGGGAGAAAGTTATTATCCTTGTAAAGAACAAGGCATCAAATGAAGGCCTCTTTTAAAAGGATTGGAATGCCAGTTCTTGGAGAATGATTCTAATGTGTGAGATCTCAGAATGATTTAAGGAAACCAAGGCACACCCTGCTTCTTCTTCTTTTTCTTTTTTACAAATCACCGTGAGATACAGTTACAGACTTACAAACTTTCATGATTACATTTCAGTCATACAATGACCGAGTACCCATCCCTCCATCAGTGCCCATTCTCCACCACCAATGTTCCCAGTATCTGTCCCCACACTCCGATCCCCTCTCCTTCCCCCTCCCCTGCCTCTGTGGTAGGCACATTCCCTCTTACTCTCTCTCTCTCTCTCCTTCTGGGTGTTATGGTTTGCAACACAGGTACTAAGTGGCCACATGTTTGGTTCATTGCCTACTTTCACACATCTCCCATCCCGAGCAAGCCCTCTAAGCATCATTACTTAGTGATCCCTTCTCTATCCCAGCACTTGAGGACAGTTTCCAAGACATAAAATGACTGCTCTCATTTGTGGAATATAAAGAATATAACGGGAGACTAACACCCAAATATAGTAGAGATCAGGGAGATAAGGGCCAGGAGGATCACAGCCTTCATTTTGATCGTTTTGCTTTTTAAAAAATATTTCTCCTATTTCTCCTAAGCACCCAGGCAAGCACTTACCTCTTCTGCTCTTCTCTCTCTATTGTATTTATCTCTCTCTGATCCCCTTTTCAAGACCATTTGTAAGCAAGTTAATTCCCATTTATAAGCAAGTTCATCCCTTATTGAACATAACGGCGTTCCCCACGCCCCCTTTTTTCAACTTGCCTCTAAATTCCTCTTCTCTGCCTCTGCCCGAACCCATGGCCCATGGTTCTGGTCCATGGGTATAGAAAGCTGAAGCATTGGCTTGACATTTATTATGACACACTATCTCCTACCCCCATCAGGTATTGAAGAATGTTGATTTATATTGATGGGAATTGGCATGATTCCTCATAGACTCAGAAAGTTCAAGCTGGAAAAGTCTAAAGATCCTCCATCTATCTGAGTGTGTTGTCTTATAGAAGAAAAACCAGAAAAAATGGAGCCACTTGCTCTGACTGAGAGAAGCAAAAGCAGCATCCCATTGGGATGGAGAAAAGGGTCCGAGTATCACATACATTCTTCACGCTTCCTCTATACCCCACCCCAAGCCAATTTCTAGACCTTGTTTTTTGTAGTAAATATTCAGGAAGAGGTTAGACATACACTTGAGAAAGTTGCTCCCAGGGATACCTGCCACATAAACATTCATGGGCCTTTTAACATTGACTTTGAGCTATCTAGAGTTACAAAGAGATGTCATCTGGTTTTCAAAAACTACACTGCAAGTACGAATGTTGTACACCAAGAGGTGACAGTGCCCAATGCAATACAGAGTCTGCAAAGGCAAAGGCATAGGCATTGTCCTGGCTCCTGGGAATTCTGTCCATGCTAGTCATTCAGCAAAGTACTGTGAGGCAGAGAAGGGGTGAAGAATGTAGTGGGGGCAGCAGGAACAGAAAGAGGATGGGAGGAGAGGAGAGAGAGAGAGAGAAAGAGAGAGATGTACTACCATCTGTCACGAATAAACAAGGCCTTTGTGTAGGAGCAGTAAACAGAGCTGCTAAAAGCCTCCTGTGTAGAAACAGGGTGTTTTGTTTCTGCTGCTTTTTTCATTTGGCTGAGCGAACCACGCATGAGGTAGTTTCTAAAATATCTGTGGGGATTCTGGGAATCCTGAATCATCTAAACTAAACTTCACCCAACACCTTGGGGTACTGAGGTCCTATAATGAGGGACTGAAACACATGTGCCCCCAAAGAGCAAGGGATATTATACAGTATGACCTTGTTTAGAGACCTAGAAGGTGTGTGTGTGTGTGTGTGTGTGTGTGTAAGAGAGAGAGAGAGAGAGACAGAGAGAGAGACAGAGAGAGAGAGACAGAGAGAGACAGACAAAGACAGATATTCTGTGCTCTGTTTCATGGACAGGAGACTGGAGCTCAGGATAAAAGAATGACAATCTGCAGAAACACTATTAAAGGTTGGACTATGAACCTCACTGAACTCTCTGTGCCAGAATCCATGTTATTTCCCCAAGTTACCCAGGGTGGATATGAGCTAAAGGCCAAGTGAAAACAATTTTGCTTTATTTTGAGGAATTTTAGTTATCCTTTTCTCTTTTTCTTTTCTCTTTTTTTGCTGGGGGGGGGGGGTGAGGGAAGAGGGGGTTGCCACACCCAATGATGCCAGTGCTTGCTCCTGGCTCTGCACTCAGGAACTTATTGTTGGTAGTGCTCAGGGGACCATATTGAATGCTGGGGATCAAACCAGATTGGCTGTGTGCAAGGCCGCTGTACTATCGTTCTGGTCCCAAGATTAGTGGAGAAATTAGCACAGTGAACCCCCGTACAAGTCACCACTTTCCCTTGCATGCTTTCCTGAGACCCTCCTCTATAGATGATTTCATAACTAATTTCTTTTATAATCTTTCATCTGTAAATATTTCAGTAGGTATCTCTAAAATAGACTTTTTAAAAACATAATTTAGGGGTTGGAGAGATTGTGCAGTGGGTAGGATATTTATCTTGCATTATCAATCCGTGTTTCGGTGTTTATCGATAAATTGGTGTTTATCAATCCCCCTCACACCACATAGCACCCCCCCCCCAGCCCCTCCAGGAGTTATTCCTGAGCACAGAGTCAGCAGTAAGCTCTGAGCACTGCTGGTGTGCTTTGAAAACAAAACAGAACCCCTAATATAAAAATATTCTCACAAAATTATCACATTTTAGAAACTACTAATAATTCTTTAATAGTATCTGAGAGCTACAGAGAAATTAAAGGTCAAGGAATTAAAAATTTCCCAAATCA